TCTGCCCTATTCCCGTCCATCGAAATCAAAGGTTTGAAGCGGGGAGGAAGTGTTGGACTGGTACTGCCGCGAGGAACAACTTTTGCCCTGTCCCTACTGTAATCATTGATGGCAATCTGGTCGGGTGTAAGGAGGTTGCGCTCCAGTCCTTGGGCTGAAGTATCAGATTGAACAACATTATTACGTGCTTGAGACCATACAGTATTAGTGTTACGTCCAAAATGCAATTCAAAAGGTGTTTTCTTAAGCACCGCATGGTTACTATTGCGAATATTCTCAAGTATTTGATGAATCGTATCCTTAAAGTTTTTGAAATTAAGATCAAGTTTTTTCACATCCAGCTTTTTTTTGATTGTCTGAATCGTTCGTTCGACCAACCCACTGCCACGGTGATCTCCGACCGGTGAGAGAATATGTTTAATACCTCTATTGGAGCAGAATTCTTGCACCAAGTTATTTTTAAAACCTGAACCATGATCCGTTCTGATAGAAAGAGGAAGACCATGAATACGAATATAAGATTCAAGGAATTTAGTAACCTTTTTAGCCCCAGTGGTTTTAGAGATCAGAACTGAAGGAAACTTAGAGAACCGATCAATCGCTACCAAAAGAAAGATCTTAGACCCCTTTTCATCAATTGTCGGACCAGCAAAATCTAGTTGTAACTCCTGATTAGGTCCAGACAGGACAGGCAAAGATTGCGCCGTATTAAAAGTTGACGCGGGCTTAAGGTTCTTACCGAACAGGGTACATTCACGACACTTCTCACACGTCTCAATGATCTGACGGTTCATAAATAGGCACCAGAGGTATTCGGAGGCTGCCACCATAGCCTCTTGTCCCGGATGAGATCGGTGAAGGCGAGCGAGTACAGCTGGTCGAAGGGGTTTAGGAATAGCTAATTTGTTATCAATAACTACACAGTTATTAACCACAGCTGCTTTAGGCCAGAACTGGGCCATATACACCAAGCTTATTGAAAGAGGTGATATCCTTGTTTATGATGGCTCGCTTCATGGGGCCAAGAAAACGATCCTCCGGCGTCAATTCCCCCAAAAGATCTGCATCAAAGAGCCTAGGCAAGCCCACAATTTCCTTTTCCGACGAGGAGAGGAGAGGTTTACCCCCATTCACAGTGAGGACACTAATCTTTGCGGCCGTGTTAACTTTGCCTGGCTTTGACCAGCGACATTGTCTCATCGCCTCCAACAACTACGTGTGACGGTCTTTCCTAGTTGTAGTCCTTGTGGCGACAAAACTGGTCTTGGCGGCCCGTTCCCGTGTTCGGTTCCGTTGTCGAATCTGATCCAATCGGGACATGCGGTTAAGTTGGCGAGATCGTATTGGCGGCCTTGGACCTGGTCGGCGAAAACTTGGAGAGTTAATTGGAAAAGACTCCACAAATGCTTGTAAATCAGCTTGCTCGGCAGTTGAGTGCAGTATAGTCGTGGAGTCTGGTTGAGTGCTAGTGGCGTTTGAGTCAGTAGTAGTTGGGGTACCGAAAAATTTTTTAGATAAAAAAGATGAAAGAAATTGACTGTTTGCTAAAGATTCAGGTCGGAGACAGTGATTATTTGAAACGTCATCTGGTCTGCAACAATCAATTTGCATACCAGTCTCTAATCGGTTGAAACCGTGAGAGCATAAACCGACGCCCTCTTTTGACAAACAACGCGAACAGTCCATTTGCATACCGCAATGTGATTGGTTGAATCATTGAGTGACAATAACATCGCCCCCAACCAGCGAGTGACGTAAATATTGAGCACCATTGTACTGAGACACAAATTGGACACCCTCTTGCGGCGATAGACAATTTTGATTCCACTTTGGAGAGGAATTAAAAGAATTGATAAATGAGAGGGCCTTATGAAATGCCTCAATAGACTTAACTACAAACAGTTCGTCGTATTTAGAGGGTTCAGGAGCTGGAAACGTAGAAAAACGTGATAAGTAATCGACTATCCCCAACGTGACCCCTGGGACGTGGATAACCTCAAAGTCAAAAGGTAGCAGACGATCTGCCCAACGAGCAAGGCGAGACTGATATGACTTATTATTATAATTTTCACTTAACGCCGATATGATAGCTTTATGATCGGTCAATACTTGAAAACGCGTACCTAACAAATAGGTGCGGAAATGTTCGCAAGCCCAGACAATAGCCAATAACTCCAGCTCGTTAGTGCTATATTTAACCTCTGCATTATTAAGAAAACGCGAAGCAAAAGCAGTTGGGACCCAAATTCCCGGTTCAACTTCCTGTTCGAGGCAAGCTCCTAGGCCATTATGGCTAGCGTCACATTTTACCCTCGATCCCTTCGATGAATTGAAATGATACAGACTCTGAATTTTCGCAATCATCTTGATGATATCATGGAAGGCTTTATTCTGATCCTCACCCCACAGGAGCGATTGTTTATTACAGGCCTTTAACGAAGCTCGGAAATGAACAGTGTGGGTATGCAAGTCAGGAAGAAACCTTTGTAAATGGTTTAGCATCCCCATAACTGACCGAGGTTGTTTCAGAGTTCGCGGTGGTTTAAGCGATTGGATTGCCTCGATCTTTGAAATTCTTGGGGAGTAACCGTTCTCATTAATATCATACCCTAAAGCTGGTTAACAGAGAATTCGCACTTACTCAGTTTGAGAGCTCAGCCTTCCGCATCCAGCCTTTGCATAACTTTTTCGACCAGATCGTTATGTTCTTTGACATCGCCTTTGGTGACAATCAAAATATCGTCGAGGCAACAAATAACCCCTTCTAGCCCTTGTAAAGTACAATCCATAGCCTTCTGGAACTCGGTAGGCATATCTGTCAGTCCATAAAAACCCGTCTTGAATCGGTACGTTCCCGTCGCCTCGCCACACAAAATGTTGCAGTTACAGTCGCTGCTAGTGAATGATGACAGTGGCAACTGACTAAACGCATACTTTAAATCCAAGGACGTGAACCAAACCTTACCAGGAACATTGCGAGTTATGATGTGTGCCGCGGAATCAATGAGCTCAAGAATGTCGGCATCTGGTACTTGTTTTTCCAGATCTGAGCATTCATCGGCTTAGCATTGAGGGCCAGTTCGATAGATCCGTCCTTTTTTGCAGTTAACACAATCGGTGCTATGAAGAACCAACTTTTCAATGTGTCCTTGCTCCACCAAAAGTTTGATCTCACGTCACTTGCGACCCTATCCTGAATATGAATCGGATTTTTTCGTCCTTTAATTTAACGTGGCACCAAAGGGAACTTGAAATTGGTATATACTTTATGATTTTTTGACCGACCCAAACGACTAAACACATGAGCATATTTCTTTGCGAAAAATGAACTCCAGTATTCTGAAATTGGATCCGAGGAACTATACTCCAACGACTGGATTGTTTTGGCCTTCAATTGTTTAGTAACAACCCCCAAATGCTCCTGCAAATCCAAACCGAGAAGATTACGAGATCTATTCTCCGAAATGAGGAATTGAGCGTTTGCCACCCTCCAGCCACTAGAAGAAATCGGAATTTGAATCGACCCAAGGAGGCAAATGGGCTTCTTATTATAGTCGAAATAAAGGGTATCAATAGGGTACCGGGTGATATCGCGAAACTCAATCGATGGATTTCGTTGCAAGAGTAAACCACAGGTGCGTTTATTCAGGAACGAAACTGGGCTTCCTGTGTCTACTAACGAATAGAAAAAACTGTAACCTGAACGAAACTGGATACTGAGGCTCCGAGACTGTCCTCCGCTTGACCTGAGGGTTTCCATACTATTAATCATGACAGCGGATTCCAGCTGTAACACTCCATATTCAGGCTCACTATCCTGGTCTACATCTATGAAGTTGCAATCCACAGAGGGACCCGCCACGTCCTCATTTTCCTGCACCAGATTGACACGTCTTTTCGACGAGTTGCAGCATTTCGCGAAGTGTCCACGTTTCCGACAGAGATTACAAGTTACTTCCCGAGCTCGACAAGATTTACGGTGATCCGGACTATTAGGATTACCACAGAAATAACATGATTTATTCGTTTGATTGTTTTGTGACGTTTGTCGGTTGTTTTGGTTTTGAGGATAATTCCGTCTTCCTCTCGATGACTGAATAGAGCAAGTAGGTTCTTGTTTAACCATAATCCCGCTAGAATGTTGATTATGAGGGAGTAGTTTCTAGAACTGAGCAGACGTACTTGCCCCTTTTTCGCACTCAAGTGCGAGCTTAAAGGTGCCATCGAGATCAGCTTTTGCCTTGATGAGTTGTTGTTGAACATCGACGTCTCGAATTCGTCCAATAAAGAGGTCTTTCAGAGTCTCCTTTTCCTGATCAATAGGCCAATTACACAATGAGTCAGCGAATCGTCTCCTCCCTTCATTCCCCAGAGCAAAGAACCAACGAGACTTCATACGAGCTTCAGCCTCGTGGTAGAACCAATTTTGACTGATCCGAGGGCCTTTTCTTCTCCTCTCAATGTTTAGTTCAGTAATCCTTCGGATCGCCGCTTGATCTCGCTGTCTGCGGGCATCAGCTGCTCCAGCATCTTCGCCCTCAGTAATTGACTCCGGTCCTAGAGGAGGTTCATCAATAACCTTGGTGGGTTCAATTAACAGATCACGAGGGTTGATATTATCCTTCAGACCAGCGGCCAACAAAAATTGACCAATCCACGATTCCCACAGAAATGGTGGGTTAATAGAGGCTTTCGCCCAGAAAGGGGAAATGCCTAACAGGTCAGTCCTGTCTCCGGTCACAGGAACTGCGGGCTGCGCCATGAGATTTGCCGAGGTTTTAGAATGAAAACTTTGTTGCTGAACAATACGTAAATTGTTTTAGAGTTAAATACTTTGTTAGATAGAATTACTTTGTTGCTTAGTTTCGAATATAATCTTGGTTTAGGAAATTTATCCTGAATGATCATAAGATTAAGTTGAATCAGATTTCTAGCAAACAATAGAGATAACAGATAGAGAATGAACACGCTCTGCGTGGAGTTAAGTAGAGGTTAGCGCAATGACCTTGATTAATATAGTTAGCATCAAACTGCAGTAGGACTGCAAAAGAACAAGTAACTAACGAGGTACCGAAGGTCGCCTCACGACAATATGAAATAAAACGAGTTAGCGCAATGACCTTGGTTAATATAGTTAGCATCAAACTGCAGTAGGACTGCAAAAGAACAAGTAACTAACGAGGTACCGAAGGTCGCCTCACGACAATATTTTCTTGTGTAAGTGTAAAATTTTAACTTAACATTTTCGAGAGATACTTTTCAACTTTGCCTGAAAAAAGAATAAAGTTGCCTAAAATAAGCTAACATGAGGTCAAAGTACTGCAGGATTTTTTTCACACCAGCTATTTTTTTAAACACAGTGAAGAGAGTGCATGGTTAATTTGATGGCCTGTAAGTTTAATTTGCCATTTATGACACCTTTTTCCGGTCTGTTGCAAGATATTGACAGGAAAAGGAAACTTCACACAGATACGAAGGAAACGCAGGAAGTGTCTTCTTCGAACCCTTAGTATTTTTTATCAATTATGTTAAGAGCCTCACATTTTCAATTTTTATTAATAGCCTAGACGGTCTTCAAAAACCGAACTGCACAATAAGCGTGTTTCTATTGAAAAGTTATAAATTCACAATAGTTATGAGTTTTTAACTCAGTCACAGCAGAGTTTCGATACGCTTCGTTTGGAAAGCAATAGAATGCAATCAAGTTTGTTCCAGTTTGTAAAAGTTTGCAGCTGAATTTTTCCGGTTCTAATTGTATTAGATTTCAATTTTGAAAAATAACCGTTTATGTGGCTAGAGATATTTCATCATTAAAGTTATTCGGTTTTATTTTGTTGAAAAGCAGAATTTACATTTTTGTTTTTCTTTTCAGCTTTAATTAAAAGAAGTTGGTTTTGAAATGTAACGGAGTAGAAACACTGCACTTTTAACCAAACCAAAAAAAAATCATCCAATTAGTTCTTTCATAGTTCTACCTGGAAAAATCATTCAAATCCAAAGTATACTATCTATGTGTGTAACAAATCAGATAATTTTTCCTCCCGCTGTATATAGCCATGAAGTTTCAGCTGTATTTATTTTTTTTTGTAAGAAACCTTTTATTGAGAAGATATCGTTTCAAGCGAAGCAATGAAATGACGTCAAACTTTGCAACTTTTTTCTATCTACTTCTAATGATGACGAAATGAGAATTTTTTTGTTTATTTTGAGCAAAAAAGCTGCACAGTTTGGCGCTTGTTCTATTATTCTTTTCTGCACTTCCAATTTATAATTCAGAGCAAATCTCTCAATGTGGTTTTCTGTATATTCTGAGGATCAAATTCGTTTGACCGGCAAAAACAAAAGGTAGAGCCGAAAAAAAGCGCTTCCCGCAATTAATTCTGCAATTTTACAATTTTATTCTACAACTGCAAATGAGTACAGTTTATACTAGTGAGGTTTTGTCTCAAAATAGCATTAATTATCCTTATATGAATACAAAAAGGCAAGCTAGATGGTAAGTTTCTTTCTTTCGACCACTTAAATAATGCGGAAGAATTTTGTATTCGGTTGTGTTTCAGTTTTTTATGTTTTCCACGCAAAATCAGGTGCTACAATCAATCATCGGAATGGGTCGCGTGATATATATCATAATCATCGATTTAATAAGGTGAGCGTGCAGGCTTGCACTAGCTTAATTTAAGCCGTGAAAAATTAGTTTCACTCGCGTAAAGTTAGTTTTTGGAGATTTTTTAGCAGTATTTTGGGAGTCAATAATTTCTGCAAAAAAAAAATCGAAAAAATTTCGAAATTTTTTTAAAGTTTTTTCTACGATTTTTATGCGTTTCTCAAGTCGTTTTTAAAAACAACTATTTTCCAATTGACTTGTTTTACTTTGACTGTAGAATATAATAAAAGTTTTTTTTGTTTAGATCTTTTTACATACCACACAGAAAAAAAAACGATGCTAAATTGAAAGAAAAAGTTTTTTGTGTTTTTCTAAGACTATGGTCGGAATATTCTTAGCTACTTGCACAGTAATCGGCTATCCATTTTGACAACTGTGGTTTTGTGAAATTGTTTTACAGAAAAACAGCCCAAAATGTTCAAAATTTTTTGTCATACAATTTCCATACATGAAAAACATTTTGTCATTTAACTCCATGCGCACAAAAAAATTGTATAAAATCTCTCTGATAAAACGTTTCCATACATGCAAACTACTTTTTTTCCAGTTTTGCTAAAAATTTTAACAACGATTTGACATAACAAACCCGTTGGTTGAGAAAAGTAATCTCAGAGAACAGAACCGACATTTGTAGGTTATTTGTGTGAACCAGTGTTTCGTAGTTCACTCAGAACTAAAATGAATTTTTTTGGCATATAAAAAAGAAAAATTTTCAAGTATTGATTGCACAAAAAGTCAAAGTCAAGTTTGTTTTACTTGTATAAAAAATCCAGTCTCGACTACAATATAGATAAAAATGAAAATTTTTTGCCTGCGAAATTTTTTCGAGCAATCTTTATATGAGCATAAAAATAATGATGCAAAAGAAGAAAAAAAATTACCGGAAATTGAGTTTGTTTTTGATTTTTATGCAGCATAGCAAAATTAGCTTGTCATACCATTGTCGAAAACGTTATTTGTATGGAAAGATTGTTTTGAATAAAAAATTAGTGTATGGATTTATTTGCTAAGTCTCACAATTTCTTTTTTATAGCTATTTTAGGAGTTATTATGGCTAATCCCGTAAAGTTTGGATCTAATATATGAAAAATAAATCAGCTCACAATTGTTAGTTTTTTCACCACGCCAAGTTTTTTTGCATTCTGATAATGCTCAAACAGTTTTTCAAACAAACTATTGTTCAAACAGAAAAGTGGAAAAAAGAAAACATTTTTCTTGATGTCAACTCGAGATTCCAGAGTTCGGTGAAACTTTTTCCTTATGCAAGATTTCCTCAGATTTAAAAATTGTAACGGGCGACATTTGTTCAAAGTATATTTTGTACTAAGCGATAACTTGACAAATGATGGACGAATAATGTATTGACGAATAATAAACAACAATGTGAATTTTCAAAAATATGTTTTCTCAGTATGTTTGTTTTCTCAGAACATTTTTTTTTAGAAATGGTTGAAACGTGAAATGGTTGTATAAACTTAATTATTTCAAGACTAAAAATCATGTTCGTAGTAACATTTTGTATTAAAAACGTTCCGAGCCTGAAACATTGCGGTGCAAATTCCCTGACATAACAGTTAATTGCCGCAACGAGCATTCATTAATCTTTTTTTATTTACAAATGTAAATTGATGCCAGGGGCGATCTAGGGTTTTCTAGGAGGAAAGGGATATAAATAGAATTTTTTAACTTTTGAAAAAAGTTGTCGCTTTCTGCCTAGGTCTTTAAATTGACTTTCTGATGCCACCAAAAACACAGAAAAAGCTCAGAAAAAAAAGCAAACCAAAAATGACAATTTGATCATTTTTTTTACCTTGTAAGTAATTTTTACAAAAACTTAATACCGCAGATGCGTTAGAACAAAATCTTAGTAAAACACTGCACATCAGGTTCTAAACATTATGTTAGATTCAAGAACCCATAAATGTTAACTCCTATGTGCTTAAAAGCGAATCTTTCAAACTTTCTTGCAGAAAAAAGCAAATCTCGCTGAAAAATTGTTGAAAGTTTTTTCAAGTTTGTTGAGAAATTTGAACTCTTCTGATCTGCAACGCAGAATGAAAAGTCTTGCAAGATTCCTGAAAAATGTGCAGTTTAATGAACTGCAACTCAAAATTCAGTTGAGCATCATTTTTTTCCTTGAGAACTATGTATAGTTAATGCCAAAATGTTGTCAATATCGGCAACTTT